GTATGTCTAGCACTCCCAAGAGGAGTTAGTATTTCACTGGATCATCACAGCAGCATGCCATTGTCTAGAGCAGTGGTTCTCAACCTTCTGGCCCTTTAAATACAGTTCCTCATGTTGTGACCCAACCATAAAATTATTTTTGTTGCTACTTCATAACTGTAATGTTGCGACTTTTATGAATCATAACGTAAATATCTGATATGCAGGATGATCTTAGGCGACCCCTGTGAAAGGGTTGTTTGACCGCCAAAGGGGTCACGACCCACAGGTTGAGAATCGCTGATCTAGAGCTATTAGGAAGCCTTTGTCTCTCTGAACTTGGAGTTCTCCTAAAAAGAAGCTCTACTAAGCACACACCCCTCCTTCTCATACCTAGGATTGAAGGACTGTCTCCTACCATGGTTCTGAATGCACAGAACAGCTGAGATGAGCCCATTTGAAATGAGGAGGTATGCCCACACTCCCAAGCCTTTAGTCAAGAGCACACCTAAAATGTCACCAGAATCCAAGTCACAGAACACTGAATTCCAGCTACACCTCACATATTTGTCAGCCTCCAAAGACTTGGTCATGGTTCTAATTTTGTTACTCATGTTACACACACACTGACACACACACACACACACACACACACACACACACACACACACAGAAAGAACATATAGTATTTAGCAATGGAAGATTCTACATGGAGTGTTGATAGGTGTTTACTGTATTATTTCTAGAACTTGTCTAAATTTGAAATGTTTTCAAACAAAAAAATTTATTAAAACATTCACTTTGACTCCTCCCTCACTTCATATGTAAAAAATAATTTCAGATGGATCTTAGATCTAAATGTGAAACCTAGAAATAGAAGTAAATACAAAACAATAAAACTCCTAGAAAAAAATCATAGGATAATATCTTCATGGCCTTGAGTAGGCAAAAATTTTTTAAACAGGACAGAAAGGCACTGAAAGAACAGCACCAATAATAAATCCAGCTACATTAAAATTAAGGATTTCTGTTCATCACTAGGAACCTGAAACCTGTATAGTTTTATTAACCAATGTCACCACAATATATTCAGTTTTTTTAAAAAAAGAACTCTTGAAAAAGGAGAGTTTGATGAGCTTCCAAATCCCAGAGTAACAATTATTCTCTGCAAACAAGACAAAACATTCCCAAGAGGGCACAGTCCTCCCATACATTCATACGGCAGGAGGGTGGTGTACCTCAGTTCCATGGGGACAGAAGATCCTGCTGTCCAGACCCTTCTGGACCCAGCTCTATATGCCTCTTTATCTGTATCATTTATAATCCTATGCAATAAAGAGCTAATATGCAAATGGTGATCACGCCCTGGTGCCCTTGCGCCGGGGCCGGGGGACCTGAGGCCATGCCCCCTGCCCTGGCACCGGGACTGGGGGACCTGAGGCTGCACCCCCTGCCCAGTGCTGGGCCGGGGGACCTGATGCTGTGCCCCCCGCCCGGTGCCGGGCCAGGGGACCTGAGGCTGAGGAGGGTGGGGCTGGCTGGGTCTGGGTCTCGCACAATTTTGAGGCACATGCGGGTGGGCGGGGACTTGACTCTGGGTCCCTTGGCGTGCCCCAGACTCTGACAGGAGGGAGATTTTCATATACATTTTACTAATTTTCTTTCATCTCTGACACTTCTATTATAGAGAAAGGGCAAATAGCAATATTAAAATATTTCCTCTAATTAATTCCCTTTTAATGTGCACAAATTTTGTGCACCAGGCCACTAGTATATTTTATAATAAGCTGATAAACATAAAAAGAGAGAGATCACTAGGAAAGTGGAAAGGCAAGCCACAGAGTGGGAGAAGATATTTGCAATCTGATTAAGGACTTCTAGCCACAGTACATAAAAAACTCTTGCAACTCAATAAAAAAAGAGACACTCAAAAGAATATGGGCAAAAGACTTGAAAAGGTACTTCACACATATAAGGATATGCAAATGACCAACAAAAGCATGAAAATGGAATCAATTTAATTCTTTGTCAGGAAAATAAAAATTAAATTCCAGTGAAATACCACTATCTATCCAACAGAATGGGTTTTTAAAACAAACATTTGCAAATATTAGTGAGACTATGGAAAAAACAGAACTCATAGACATTGCTGATGAATATAAATGTGTCTCAACAATTTGGAAACTGGCAGTATCTGCTAAAGTTAAACATGTGTATACCCTATGAAGAAATGCATCCACTCCCTGGAATACACCTAATAAAGATTTGCATAGTTGCTTACTAAAGACAGATAAGAATTCCAAAGCAGCAGCATTCGTAATAGCCAAAGTAATTGACAACAATTAAAACTCCATTAAAAGTCAATCTGTGGTGATGGAAGTTAAAGAACTGGACATCCTTGGGTGCGAGTGACTAGGAGGAGGTTGGAAGGGGCTCCGAGGTGCTGAGAAAGTTTTGTTTCTTCATCTGTGTGCTGGTCACACCGATGTATGTACTGAGTGAAAACTCACTGAACTGTATACTTAGGACTAGTGAACTTTTCCACATATATGTTTTACTTTAATAGAAAGTTTACTAAACTCAAAACAAAACCTTGTTTTTAAAATAGAGCTTGATGAGCTAATGGTGGTCACATGAACATATATACACGGCATGGTTAGTTATGCTCACGCTGGAGGGGAAGAACTAAAGAGGAAAGGAAAGCAAGGCGGGGGGAGAGGCTAATCGGGATCATTTGCGCTCGAAGAAGGGCCAAACCCTAAGTCAAAGTTTCCTCTCCCACCATTCCCACTTTATCCCATATGCCTGCAGCCTAGAAGTGCCTCACCTTCTCCAGGCCTGACCTAACGCTGCAGCAAGCTCTCCTTTTGCTGCTCAACAACTCTCACCCATCTTTGTATCTCCCAACAACCTCCGCAGTACTCACACAGAGTGAGGGCTCAATACACAGCCTTTGAACCCTGCAGCCAAGAACTCATACATGATAAGGAGGTCCAGGAAAATGTAGATCCAATGTTAATTGTATAGGTAGGTCCCAGGGCATTTAAAACCCAAGTTATTTCAGAGGGAGGGCTGTACAGAGGTCGTTGTATTGGAAGGTTTCAATAGAAACTTGGCCAAAAAGGAAAGCTCGCTGCAGCACAGGGCCAGGCCTGGAGATCCTGGGACCCTCAGCATCACTCTTTCCACCTGACTATCTCAGAAGGCCCTGGAGCAGGCAGCAAAGGGACCAGGGTGCTCGCCTTGCCTCTTTCCCTTCCCTCTGCCAGGAAGGGGTCATTCGCAGAAAGGAACTGGCAGCTCTCGGCCTGATGTCCTCACTAGGAAGCTAGACTGGTCTAGTGTTTCCAAGGGCTTCCCAGATCTTCCGGGACTCCCTATGGGCTTCAGAAGGGCTGGTGAAGCTTTGCAGGAACGTGGGGATTTATGAGCTGAATGGGTCTTAAGAGTGGTGGTTAAACAAATCTGCTCCCCCATGAGCTGGAATGTAATGGTGATACTATCTTATGTGAGGATGTTGTCAGAGGTGGATGGCCTACCTCCCTGATCACTGAGGAGGTGGTGTCCCCACTCCCATCCTCCTACATGTCTGTGTGAACATGACCTTCCAACCGGAATGAGGAGGAGGCAGCTGGCAAGGCTTTTGGGGCTGATAAATCTTACTCCCTTCTGCTATGGGATGAATTGTGCACCTCCCTCCCCCAAGCAAATTTGTATGTTGAATCCCAACAAGGTCGCTCAGAATGTGACTTTATTTGGATATAGAATCTTGAAATAGGTAATTAAATTAAGATGAGATCACTAGTGTGGGCCCTAATCCAATGTGACTGCTGTTTTTAGAAGAATAAATGTGGAGACAGGCATGTACAGAGGGAAGACTAGGTGAAGACACAGGTAGAAGTCAGCCATCAACAAGCCAAGGAGAGAGATCTTGGAAGAAATCAATCCTGCCAACACCTTGATGTTGGATTATTAGCTTTCAGAACTGTGAGAAAATTAGATTCTTTTGTTTAAGCCTCCCAGTCTATGGTACTTACATGCTACAGCAGCCAGAACAGTCATCCACCTTCCCAGCCTTCATTTCCCCTGGGCATTGTGCCTCCTCTCAATCTTAGCGCATCCTGATTCCATCCTAATACCAGACTAACAGGGTTGTTCCTTTCTGTCCCAGTCTTGACTGGATTCTTCCTCTTGCCTGGCAGGTATGTACCCTGTTCTCCCTTATCATTCTCCTGCCCATGGCTCCCAACCACCTTTCTGCTTCTCCTACCTCCACTTCTGCTTCTAGCCCCAGCCCTTGTCCGACAGGCCATGTGGTGCTGTGCACTTGCTGGGGTCAGAGGCAGTGAGGCAGCCTGAAACATTTTAGAAGATGGCAGGAGACTGAGGCCTTTCTTGCTCTCTCTCACCACCTCTTCCAAGAATTTCCCACAGGTTGATAAATACTGTGATGGTCCAAAACAGAAGGTGCGATTTGGCTCTGTTCTCCGATGCCACTCTGGTGGGTTAGGAAAGCAGATGGAGGGCGGTCCAACTCGGGGAGAATGCCAGACTCACCCAGAGTGATCCTCATATGCTCCGAAACCTGGCACGGATTAACCCTACTAATCCCCACCCGAGAGCCAGGAAACTGAAGGACTGTTTGGAGTAATGGCCGTGTGCTGGGATGTTGGACAAATAGCTCCTCTGTGCTGGGAACAGGTTCGTAAGTCTTCTCTTTGCACTGGGTCCCTGTCAATATTTTATGTCCCAATTAGGGTTATTTTGGGGGCATTGTTTGCAGAGGAGGAAGACTCTAACCTCTTCCTGCTAAGGATCTGTGAGATCATCCCCTGGCTGAGCTCTTGGCTCCTTCTTCACAATAAAAATAATAATAATAACAAATAAAAAAAATTCTACACCCCTCATTGCCCTTACAAAACAGTGGATATTGGGATGCCAAGGCTCAGATGGGACTGCAGGCTGAATCTCAGAATTTCCAGGCCATTTAATCTGGATAAAGACAGAAAGTTTGGACTCACCTCCATGCACGTCTGATCCGAGGATGTGGTGGCTTTATAGCTGGCAGAAAACAGCACGGCCACCAGGAGGCAGCTGACAGGGGGTGCCATCACAGGACCAGTGCCACCGCAGCTGAGAAATCAGCCAGGCTGTGATGGCCTCAGTAAGCAGCAGCCAGAGAGGTGCTCAGAAGGGTGATCTGCGAACAAGAAATGCTCTGACTGCTCAGCGTTTGGTGGCTCTGTGCTGCAAAAAGGGAAGTCCCTTTACATACCACCCACCCTCGCCAAAAATAGCTGAGGACCCAGCCCCACTGTGGCCCAGTGCGCTTCCTGGCAGACGTGAATCACTCGTGCAGCCCTCTCGAGCTGGTCACGCTGGCTCTCAGTGGGGTGGTTTCTATGGACTTTAGGCTGCCTTCAAGGGTTTGGCTAACTCCAGTGTCTTTGGGTCCCTTTCCCCCAGAGAGGCTGTGGACACAGGCAGCTGTCCTCACGAAAGAGGCCACTGGGTTGGTTGCCCTAGGCGAGTGGCCAGGAGAGGTGCTATGGCATGCTGGATGAGTAAGGCACTCTGCAGGCCTGATGGAAGGACTGAGCCCAGGGGTGGTGCTGCTGGAGCTGGGACCTGGAGCAAGAGAGACAGGTCATCCTAGAAAGCGAGTGTAACACTGCATGGCCACCTCGCCAATACCCACCTCTGGTGTGATCAGAGGAGGACAAACCCATCCCTGACCTGGTGACTCAGGCCTGCTGTCGCAGCAGCAGTGGAGTCCCCTTGTGTTCCCTGCCAACCTGACGCAGCAGAGGACACTGCTGTGTGCCCAGCAGGCTGGCTAAGAGAGAGCAGAGCTGAGGATGTCAGCCTTGGCTCTGTTTCACCTTAGAAATTGCTTTGAAGCAGGATTGTAAAACCCCCTATTATGGTGCAATATGTGGTAGTGATTAAAGAAAGTGAAACTTCAAGCATTTCTCACTGGGCTGGATTTAGCTACCTCAAACCTTGTTTTTCTCCAACCTTCTGGCCTAGCCTATCTAATAAACAGGGAATATGCAAATTGACCGTCACATCATCACAAAGATGGTGGCACCCATATCCTCAAGATGGCAGTGCCCAGTCCCCTCAGTCCCGCTGGAGTCCCCCAGTTCTTTCAGCCCAGCTGGGGGGTGGGGAGGCAGCATGCACATGGTGCAGCAGGACCCACCCTCAGTCCCCCAGCTGCCCAGGGCCATCCCGAGGCACAGGCAAGCCTTGGATGTTGGCTGCCCAGCCACCTAGGGTCAGCCCAAGGCACAGGCAAGCCTCAGATGGCGGCTACTCAGCCACCCAGGGCCACCCGAGGCTCAGGTAACCAGGGCTGGCAGAGGCTTGTGCTGTTGGCAGTGGCAGCAGCAGAGGTGTGATGGGGGCGTCGCCATCCCCTGATCGCCGGGTTGCCTCTTGCCCCTGAGGGCTCCCGGACTGTGAGAGGGGGCAGGCCAGTCTGAGGGACCCCCCTCCAGTGCATGAATTTTCATGCACCAGGCCTCTAGTAGGAGATATTTAGCATTACTGTTCTCCCATTATATTTCTGAGAGCCCAATTTTAGCATCAGAGTCACAGTGACTTGAGATGCTACTACTAATACTACCAGTACTGTGTTACTACCACTAGTACAATAATTTATGTTAACTGCCATTTATTGAGCACTTACTATGTGTTAGTCACTGGGCTGGGGTATTGTTTTGTCCCCTTGTGTGTCTCTTTATCACATATTCTATCAAAGAGGTGTTTTTATGTATCCTATTATATAGATGCAGAAACAGATGCTTAGAGAAATGAAATGACATCTCCCAGCCCAACTAGAACATGGTGGATTAGGGCTTAGATCCAGTCTCACTGCAGAGAATGTGCTTTTACTCTCCAGAGTTTAAGAAAGCAAACGGTGCTTTTGGCAGAACGTGGTCTAAGCAAACCCAGACTGATGACAAACAGCCTTGCTTTAGGGAAGGCATGCATCGGGGTGTAATGGGAGGAGTCTGGACCAGAAGGAGACCCAGAGCCATCGCTTATCAATAGAATACTGTTCTATTTCCCACCTGAAAAATAGAACAGGAATTCCAACTCCTGTTCAGCTGACATCACAGGGTAATTATGAGACTCAAAAGAGAGTTTACATGACAATGCTTTCTTAACCTTAAAGTCCTACATAAATAAGAAGAATGTGAGGAAAAGACTCCTCTGAGTAACCACTTCCAATGTCATGTAAATATCACTCTCAGGAAATTGTCTCCTGCCCCAGAGACATTGAAGAGGTGTATTACTTTCCTTCTTAGAGAAAGGTTTGATAGCTCAGTTAAGGTTTTGTCACTTTCTGAGGCCACTGTATTTGCATATGATTTGCATGCGTTTGCATAATGAATTCAAAAGACTCACTGCAAGTCTATAAGAGTAAAAGAAAATAAATGAATACGAGTAACCTTCTGCCACAGCATTTAAATCAAATATTCAGGGCATAATACCCTGAAATAGGAAATAGATTAAAATTTAAACTATTGCAAACAGATAGGAAGATAGGTTTTAGAGTTCGGAGGCAAGAACGAAACCTTATTTGGTCCGAAGTTGTAAAGAATCACATACTCTTAAAGGTCACCCCATCCTAATGATTTTCATGCCTGAATTATCTCCTCCATACTCCTCACTCCACGCCTTCAAGTGGCCAAAAACACACACACTACATTACCTTCCAGTCTTTTCTGAAGTGCCTCAGGTGACAGAAAGCTTACTCTTCCCCCAACAAATTGTTTTGGCAAATCTTGACTGTTTAAAAAGTTTTATCTTATTCTGAACTGCTAGTCTTTCTAACTTTTCCAGGAGCTTTCCTGTTTCCTCAGACCAACAGAACAAGGTCAAGCCATTTTCTACTCGCTAGTCCTCCATGTATTTGAAACTAGTTACTATGTCCCTAAATCATCCTCTTTCTGGGTTAAAAAGCTCTAGTTTCTTCACATGTGTTGTGAGTTCATGCATTATGGTCCCTAGCAGTCTGTTCATCTGAATATTTTCGAAATCTCTCATGAAAAGCTGACTTGAATTCTGGTCCTGGCTTTGCCATTAACCAGTCGTGTGTGCTTGGGAAGGTTTCCCTGGTCTTCCTTTGCTTATCTATAAAATTAGAGGCCTTGTGCATGAAATTTGTGCACTTTTGGGGTGCCCTTGGCCCGGCCTGTGCCCTCTTGCAGTCTGGGAGCCCTCAGGGGATGTCCAACTGATGGCTTAGGCCTGGGAAGCAGGCCTAAGCTGGCAGCCAGACATCCTTAGTGCTGCCACAGAGGTGGTAGAGGCTCCCACCACTGCCGCTGAACTTGCCAGCTGTGAGCCTGGCTTTTGGCTGCGTGGCGCTCCCCCTGTGGGAGTACACTGACCACCAGGGGGCAGCTCGTGTGCTGAGCATCTGTCCCCTGGTGGTCAGTATGCGTCATAGCAACCGGTCGTTCTGCCGTTCGGTCAATTTGCATATTAGTCTTTTATTATATAGGATGATGGCATTGGACTAGCTCCATGGTCGGCAAACTGCGGCTCACGAGCCACATGTGGCTCTTTGGCCCCTTGAGTGTGGCTCTTCCACAAAATACACATGCGGGTGCGCACATACAGTGCGATTGAAACTTTGTGGCCCATGTGCAGAAGTTGGTTTTCGGCCTGGGCGAGTCTATTTTGAAGAAGTACTGTTGATATTTGGCTCTGTTGACTAATGAGTTTGGCGACCACTGGACTAGCTTATCTCAAAGGCACCTCTTCATTGAAAAACCCATTACTCTACTTCAGAACAATGATTTCCATTTTACTGATGTAACAGTCATTGGCTTGAGCCAATAAAATGGAGTTACATTAGCTTTTTGCTGACAATTGCTCTTTCTTTCCTACTCTGGATGGTCTTACCTCTTCTTGGGAAGCAAAAATAGAGAGGTTTGGCTGGAGCAAAGGGCATCATGATTGTTAACAGTCCTGATTTAGTCACAGTGCCTTTAAGGGATGGCACTGCCCACACCCATTCTAAAAACAGTTCTTGCAGAGATAAGTAGAGGGAAAGAGAAAGTGAGGCAAAGCACCAGAAACTCACTTATTTCTACTGACCAGTAACCATGCCAGTGGAGGAAAAAAAGATTTGTGGACCCAGGACATTTTCATAAAATTTAAGACTCATATATTACACTAGAGGCCCAATGCATGAATTCGTGCATGGGTGGGGTCCCTCGGGATGGCCTACAGGGATTGGGCCCCAGCTCGTGCCCCCAGCCTCGCAGCCCCGCCTGGTACCCCGCCTTGGCCTGGTGCCACCCCCTCACCTGCTCCACCATTCCACCTGCAGGGCAATCTATTGGGGCCGGGCTCCCGCATGGCTCCCTCAGTGCCTGGGAGCCTGTGGTTGCCCCACCCCCCACTGCTGCCACTGGTCACCATCTGCGGGGTGATCAGTGAGGTGATTGGGACCCTGCTCACACCTGCCTTGACCTGGCACTGCCCGCTCACCTGCTCCACCATTCCGCCATGGTCCCACTCTTGTCAGGGCCCATCGGGGCCAGCAGTGCCTCCACTGCCGCCTGCTGCTAAAGCCATGTCGTCGATGCCTGCCATGTTCCACAGCACCCCCTGGTGGTCAGTGCACCTCATAGCGAGCGGTCGAACTCCTGGTCAAACAACTGCCCGAGGGGACAATTTGCATATTAGGCTTTTATTATATAGGATACTTATACACATTCTACACCATTCTTTTTTGTTGCTGTTCTGCCTTTTAATCCACCAGGTTTCCATGCAACTCATCCCTTGGGGCAGCTGCCACCCATGAATGACTCCCTACAACTGCCCCCTTTTGGATCGGGGAGGCCTGTGCACTCACTTCCTTGTGTTTCTGGGTCATTGTGATCTGGGAGGGAGGTGGGGACCTGGGAGAGCTTGTTTGTTCTTCCAGCCCTTTCTTCACATTAACCTATGTCCTTTATTTCAAGGGTGAGCAAAACAAAATATGCTATTAGGATCTAATGTTAGCAAAGAACTAGATGTTTAATGTTCATTACAGCTGATGAGCACCTGTTGGCATTAAGCTGTTCTATCTTTTTTCCCTTCTGTACGTGTGGTTTTTGTTCTGCTTTTTGGTCATGCCTGCTTCCCCCTCCACCCCAGATGGGTTACATCTACTTGCATCTACATGTCTACTTTAACTTGAATGTTCTAATGCACTTTATTGTT